TGCATGTGTTATCATTTTCACATAATACAAAATACAAAAACAAATAGTTGAAAAGTTGAAAATTTTCAATTTTGATATCCCGACTTTGGAGGACTGTAAATCATTGAATGTTAAACCGATTGTAACAACCAAAAATTTCAACAAAATTTAAACTTTTCAAAAACATCCCAATTCATTAAGTTATTACAAAAAGGTTTTCAAAACATTTATTATCAGAGTATTCCCAGGTCCATATCATAAAACATAAACACGAGGAGCGGTACGATCACGCCTTTGCCTTGCCACAGTCTTCTGAAGAACCTGAAAAACATTAAACCACAACTGTAAGCCTGAAAGCTTAGTGAGATACCCCCAAAATACCAACCACATATACCATACACATAACATGCTATATCATATTGAATCACAGAACAACCATGCATATCGGGTCTACTGTGAGACTGGTCCGCCGTGTCGGGCCTTCAGTCCACCTTCCGAGTCCAGTCATGTCCCTCGAGTCTGCAGTGTGGTCGGTCCGCCCGCACCGGGCCTTCAACCCACCTGGTCCACTCTCTGAGTCTACAGTATGACTGGTCCCCCCGCATCGGGCCTTCAGTTGGCCTGGTCCACTCTCTGAGCCTCGGCACGTCTGGTCCGCCCTCGTGGGGCCTACAGCCTATCCGGACCACTCGCTGGGCCTTCGGAACAACCGGTCCGCCCTGGGTATCTTGGCCTACAGCACGAAGCAGGACCCGCCTCAACCCAACTCCATTCCAAACAACCATGTGCACATAAACATACAATCATATAACAATTCATATTCAATCAAACCGATCTAGCAGATCACGTAACATAACATACTCTAAGCAGGATACCGACCTAACCGGTCACTAGCATAGCATCATCCTATATACCATGATACCAACCTTAACCAGGTCTCCAACAAATACTATCCTAACTACCAGGATGCAAACATATCAAAGCAATAACATAACAACAGATACCCGGATCTCAATCCGATAAAGGGCCGGCCTTGGTGCCTTAGACCCTGTTGATATAGTGAGGATAACTCACCTTGAAACTGCCGGCTGAACGAATAACCCAAGCTGCTCCGACTACTGGTAGGATCTCCACCACTCGCCAACCACCAATATACTGAACTTAAAACAATATTCAACAATTACCAAAATGCCCCTGGAAAACAACTGGTCAACCCTTGGTCAAAGTCAAAGTCTACAGCTGACTGACTCTACTCGTCGTGTCACCCCGAGACTCCCCGAGTCCAACAACTCTGAGTCCACACGCACACATCTCACCGAGTCCTCCCTTGACTCACCGAGTCACAGCCCTTTCAAAAGAAACTTGGACCCTACGACCAGACTCGCCGAGTCCAAGAACAGACTCGCCGAGTCTACGACTATCTTCAACCTACTCGCCGAGTTGTTCTTACAACTCGCCGAGTTCCAGGCCATCTTCATCCAACTCGCCGAGTTGTTCTTCCAACTCGCCGAGTTCCAGCCTTTCTTCAAGCAACTCGCCGAGTCCACCCATGTGACTCGCCGAGTACCACCGGGTCTGAATCCATACAGAGGCTTTCCAAGCCATGCAGATGATCCAAACCATAGATCTACCCCTCCTAAGGCCATCCATCACGTAAAGTGGCAATCTTTACGTGAATCCAAGAAGATCTAGGCATTATCACTCTAGGGTTTGGGTTTGGGACAAGATAGCTCCATCAATCTCTCAAAAACAGGGACCTTTATGCATTCAAACCCCTTCTCCATTTCAGATCTGAGGTAGCAACCTCAGATCTAACCTCTAAACTCCAATACATCAAAATATATGATCTCTAACACCTCCAAAAACGATGAATCTAGATAATAGCAGCTCAAGCAGAGAAATAATACCTCAAAAGGAAGCTCCAAGAGAAGATTAATCCGAATCCTTGCAAAGCCCTTTGATCCAAGTCTATTCTCCTTCAAGATTTCTTCAACAATCACTTCCCCAAGCTCCAAATGCACTCAAATCCTCCACAATCACATATCTAGGGTTTTTGGACTTCAAGGGAGATCAAAGAGGCTGGGGAGAGGGTATAATGTCCTTTAAATAGGGCTCATCCTCCGGATTTAGGGTTTTCTCCACTCAGCTCCTACTCGCCGAGTCCATCTTTGGACTCGCCGAGTAGACTACTTAACACGCGACCAAAGTCGTGACCCTACTCGTCGAGTCCACCCAGGGACTCGCCGAGTTGCCCTTAAACAATTTCACTTTTAGCCCTTCAAATCTACTCTTGATATTCCAGGATGTTACACCGATAATGACAAAATTATAGTCTAAAATAATGTATAAACTGTAAACTACAAGTTGGAAAAAACCACATGTCAATCCGACTTCAAACGAATTAGATATGTATGTTTTACAACTTTCACCGAATACAAAAAAAATGAAAAATTAAAAACTTCCAGCTTTGATATATCGACTTTGGGGGACTGTAAGACAATGGATATAAAACTAAAAATGGCAAATTTATAGTCTAAAATCATGTACAAACTCTAAACTACATGTTGGAAAAAACCGTATGTCAATCGAAGTTGAAACGAATGAGATATGCATCTTTTAAACGTTTCACAATAAACCGGTTCCAACCCTAAAAGTGGTTCCGGTTCCAAAAACCGGTTCCGGTTTTTAGACCCAGTTTACCCGGACCCGATGGACCCAAACCCGGATTACCCAGAACCCGGATAAAGCCAATTTTTGAACTCGGAACCGGAACCAGTTCGATATATTCTGGTTCTAACGGTTCCGGTTCCGGTTCCGGTTTTCCAGTTCTAAATCTCATCCCTAATGCAAACCCTAGATGATGTGACAATGGCAGCGTGTCGGTGGCGATAGCCACTCATAGTTGGCGATGGTGGCTCACTGGTCGAACGACGTGCATATTTACAATCCCATATTGCCATCTCCCTCGGTAATGAATCATATTTGCAGGTTTACTAAATCAGGATTGATTTCAATTTAAGAACCCTAAATCCTTTGCTTTCAATCGAGTCTGTATCGAATCAAATTTTCCATCTCCCAGATTCTTGCTTCCTAATTTACCCTGGTTATTCTTTCCCGATTTGCAAGTGGGTTTTCCGATGGAGGATGGTGGTGATGTTAACAATAAATGTGACAAGTTCAATGGTGGTTTGATTATATGTTGTTGGTTTGGTGATAATATGGTGACTTGCACTTATTTTTAGTGAAACATGTTAACTTTGAACGCATGAATGAGTTGAGTGAAGTGACGGGTGACAATGGTGCTATATTTCCGGTGGTGGTGGTTAGGTCTTATTAAACAAAATAAAAAAGTAATTAAAATAATTTTTAATAATTAAAAATAATCAGACAACTAATTAAAATAATTTTTTTATAATTAAAAATATAAAAAAATGTTAAAAATAAAGGAAAAAAGAAAAGGAAAATGGCATTATCGTTTTTTTATGTATCAAAAGGGTTGAAATGTGCAAATTTAAACTAACGATGGATGAACCTGCAAGTTTTAACGACATGAGAGATGATCCGAGTTAATTTTTGGAAATAAAGACTAAACATGCATTTTTGGATGAGGGACAATTTGCGTAATTTGCTCTAAAGTTTTTGTTTTAAACAAAAACCTTTTAGTCAAAAGGTTACTTCAAATAGATTTTTGGAAGTTTTTAAGTTTTGTATCATTTTTACAACTATTTTTGCCAAATAAAAACCTAAATCCTTTTAAGTACCAACTAATTTTGTCAAACATATATCATATGTTGCAAGTGGTAGTTTAAGAAAGTTATTAATATTTTTTAAAAATGATATTGAACTAAATTTTCACAATAAGTCTATAATGATTATTTTTTTATAAAAATATTTTAGCCAACTTCGAAACTTTATCGACTACTTTTGTAAAATATAATATCACTAACATGTAAAGACTGTTGTTTTTTTAATGTAGGGTTATATAGAAAAATGACAACACACTGTGATATAATTTCCATCTACTATTTGACTATTCTATGCATAATAATAAAAACAAACATGAACATCCATATGAAAGTTTTTACATTAATTTTTTTTGATGCCACACCACTAAATAAAAAAGTTTAGCTTTCTTCATAACATCAAAACTTTATGATGAAGCTCATGTTAGAGTTTGTAAACTTAATATAATTGAAAAGATACATGTTAGAGTTTGTAAACTTACAAACAAAAATAAAAAGTCAACTTCTTTTTTACTTTAAATCAAGAAATAAAATATATATAGAAAATATCCGACGAGTCATTCACAAATCCGTTGTAGTCTAGTTGGTTAGGATACTCGGCTCTCACCCGAGAGACCCGGGTTCAAGTCCCGGCAACGGAATTTTTATTTTATCAATTTTACTCGAGCGAGATATGTGCCATATCGTTATCTTTTTTCTTGTACAAGCTCAGAAACAAGTATTCAACACTTTTCTCCTCCGTTCTCCAGCCGATGTCACACATCCATGATCCATCGCAGCAACAATGGTATTTTTCCTTCAGATTATATATTTTCCTTCTTCTTTATATTTGTATGATTCGTCTGTAAATTCGCACACGAACACCGAATTAAACTGTTACAGCGCCACTTAAGCTAGGGTTTTCTTTCGTCTAATCTCGGAATTCCCTTGATCTCATTCCTGTGCTATTTTGATCTTGCGTTTAATTATCATTGCTTTGATTTTGAAATTTAGTCGTTATTGTTGCCTGAATCTTACTTATTTAGTGTTCTCTAGGATATGAACTTTTTGAGACAGAGGACAGATGAGATTGATGTAATGCTTGAATCCCAAACATTCCGTGGGTTTTAGTTGTTTAAAGTTCCAAATAATGATCATTGTCCATTTGTTTAACGTTATCAATGCCATCTTCAATTAAATTGCTTTGATTTGGTGTCAAATTTGTTATTGTTGCTTGAATTTCAAGTCATCCTATGAGTTTAGTTTTTGAATTTCAATTAAACTTGTTGTAAATTGTAAATGTTGCAGGTTTCGGATTTTGACAATGGCAATTGATGCTTAAATTGGAGAACATAAAACCACAAAACCACCTCCACCCCCTTCTCTTTTCAAACTCCATAGTCTTTCAGGTATTGTGTTGCTTCCAGATTCATAGAATTCTTCATTTTTGATTTTCACTTCATGTTTGTTTATCAACATCAAATGTATAATCTAATTACCAAACGAGAGTAAAATGACCAATTTACCCTTCTGTTTATAGACACCATATCAACATGGCTAACGAAAAGATCCTAAGTTACAACGACGTAATCCTCCTCCAATCAGATCTCACCATTTTAAAAAACCCATGTTTTCTCAACGACCGAATAATCGAATTCTACTTCACTCATCTCTCTTCACTCCATTCACAACAAATCCTCTTTCTCCCTCCTTCAATCACCTTCTGGATAACAAACTGTCCAGATACAGACACCCTTTCAGACTTCCTCCAACCCCTAAACCTCCCATCAAAACAACTCATCTTCTTCCCAGTCAACAACAACGATGACGTGGCAGTGGCTGAAGGCGGGACCCACTGGAGCTTACTTGTATTTTTCCAAACCAAAAACTTATTCGTCCACCATGACAGCTTCCATGGTCTCAATAACCACCATGCTAAACGGCTTTACAAAAGAGTTGTTTCGTATGCTACTGGTGATTTGGATGATACTGAAACAAGGTATATGGAATACGCGCGGACCCCACAACAAGTCAATGGGTTTGACTGCGGGTTGTATGTTTTAGCGATTGCTAAGGAAATATGTAGGTGGTTTGATGGTGATGGGAACAAAAACGAGGATGATTTATGGTTTTTGTTTGTTAAGGAAAGGGTTACTTCAACAAGTGTATCGGGAATGCGTATGGAGATTTTGGAGCTTATAAGAAGCTTAAGAGAGAAAAAGTGATGTTATAGGGTTTGTGACAAAAAAAAGGAAAAAGAAAAACGGGTTTCATGATATTGTAATATGTAATTGTGTTGTGATTTCTCATGTTGTTTGTTGAACAGTGTGACAGGCTTCGTGGGCCTAAATTCAATTTTTGTAAGTGGGCTTGCTTAGGAAAATGGATAATAGGTGTGATTGGGCCTATATATAAGTGGGTTTAATTGGGCCTATGTAGAATAGGATTGAAGTGCTAAGACTAAGAGCATCCATATGATAGTTTTTTTCTTCTTGCAAATGGTTATTTAGGCATCAATTGAAAGCTACATCATCACCGGATGCAACTTTTTGAAATGCTTTCAAGCCACAAGTGGAGCCCTATATGCTTCCTTTTTCCTATTGAGTTTCTTTTATTATTATTTATTTTAAAACTTACTTTTTAAATAATTTATAAATAATCATGTTTTTGTTTATTTGTTATTGAATAATTATTATCTATAAATAGTTTAGGTATTTGTTAAAATATATAAAGTAATTGTTGATGTGGTTGTGAAATTTTCTTTTGAAAGAGACTTGATATTGCACTGATGTAGATTTTTTATTTATTTATTTTTTTTTTCAAAAACTGATATGCTACCGCTAAAGACATGTGATATTGTACTGATGTAAATATCTAAGTTTTAAAAAAGTAAATTACAAATTTAGTCTTCTTGTTTTATTAAAATTGTAGGATCCGTTAAATTTTGAAATCACACCCATGTAAATAAGTTTAAAATTTGGATTGAATTTGTAAATATGAGTAAAATATAAATCCCATATTCACAACTAAATGCAAACTTATGGGTGACATTAACAACTAGACTACCACTCAATTCAACGCCACCTAAGCATTTTAGCATTTCACAACCAATCCATTAGGTTGTGGAAATGGTGTTTACAAGTGGGTTGGTGGTGAAGGAACAAAAAGGAGGAGAGAGAAGTAGAGAGAAAATGAAACTCACGGTTTTTTATTGGGTGTCTTCATACGTCTGTAGCACCACTATAGCCCACTCCACACCCAACCCACCAGCCTGTAGGGCGGTGTTCACCGGTGGGTTGGTGTGCCACGTAGATGCCACATAGGAAACTCATGCATGAATACATTCCCACACAGGATAGCCTTAAAATGGTTTCAAAATATGGATTGAACTTGTGATTTTGAGTAAATTAAAAGGGACCAAATTTCTAATTTACTTTTCCAAGGGTCGACCAAAATGTAACTAGATTTCGACATTCATGAGACTGATTGGACATTGGATCAGTAAAAGTGTAAAACCCTGAGTATTTTAATTTTTATTAAAAACGTGTTAAATATGATATGATTTTTTATTGAATAATAAATCTCTTGATGATATAACGCGGTTTGTATAATTGTATAATTGTATAAGTAATTATATTAGATTGTGAGGACCACCACTTTTGAAGGGCTAATTTGCTATTAACTCTATTTTGTTTTAGTTAACGAAATGTCCTCGACTATACGAAGATACCATTAGCATATAATACCCTTTTTACAATTATAAAATTCATGGAATAATATATAGTAATTATTGTATTGAGTAAAAAGCAAAAATCATGTAAGCATCTTTTTGAAAATAATATATTTGAGAAATGAAAGAGAGGAATATTAATGATACAATGACACTTGTCTCAAAAGTAATATAGGAATGCCGAAATCGCCAAAATATTAAATAGAAATATTAACAAAAATAAGGAGTTTTTAACCATAATTGAAAAAAATATTTACCATTTTAATGTCATTTCAAAAATATTTATCAAAATGATCATTTTCTATACTTTTTAGTTTTCTTTTCAGTTATTTATTTATTTTAATTTTAAATATTTTTTTTCTCTTTTATTCACCATTTTATTATATATATATATATATATATATATATATATATATATATATATATATATATATATATATATATGGGTAAAGTGAATATACCTAACAACCTTATATAAGCTTAGGTACCTAACCTCATCAAACTACGTCATTTTGCATTAAATTTTCGTTGCAATCATCCAAGGTTCTTAAACTTCATCCGTAAACTTGATTTACTTCAATTTTTTTTGGAAATTCAACATTATATTTCTCCTACATCCTTTCATTTGTAGCGGTAGGATATGAAGCCCATCAGGTGGTATCCGATAGAAAGACGTAATGTAAAAGAAAGATATTGGTGAAAGTCTAAAGATTTTGGAAGTAATCAAGTTATGTGGTTGAAGTTTAAGAACCTTAGGCAATTATAATGTAAATATGATACATACCGATGTAGTATTATGGGGTTAGGTACCTAAGCTTATATAAGGTTGTTAGGTATATTCACTTTACCCTATATATATATATATATATATATATATATATATATATATATATATATATATATAATGACAGCTTTTATTTTAGTTTTTTTAACCTTTTTTTACTATTTTTTTTTAAATAATAGTTTTTTTAATCTTTGTTTTTCTGTGTTTTTTAAATATCTGCTTTTTTTATACAACCTTTTTACCATCAAATTTTCGCCATCAAATTTTAAAAATACAATATATTTTAAGGTGCAAAAACTCCAAAATTCATATACAATATTTTTAAGGTAAAAAAAACAAACAAAACCTCAACATTGTTTGTTAAAAAATAAACTCCAACATTGTTTATTACAAAAAGAAAAAACATCAAAATTAGCTTGAATTTGAACCGGTAACAAATCTTACCTGTAAAAAAAAAAAAGAAAAAAAAGAGGAAATAACCACAACACATACCATAAAAATATTTTTTTTAAAACTACCTTGACATAGACGGACATTGTTTTTGATTATGCCCCGGTTGCTTACAAATTCCACAAAGATTGACGTTTCTTCCTTCTTTAATATTCGTACCAAAAATGATGTTTGTCTATGCCAATGTAGTTTAAAATAAATATTTTTATGGTATTTCTTGTGGTTATTTCCTCCTTTTTTTTTTTTTTTACAAGTAAAGATTTGTTACCGGTTCAAAATCAAGCAAATTGTGATTTTTTTTTTGTAATAAACAATGTTGGAGGGGTTTTTTTTTTTTTTTTTTTTTTTTTTTTTTTTGGCAACAAGCAATGTTGAGGTTTTGTTTGTTTTTTTAGTTATAATTTTGATAAATATATGTTGTTGAAATTTATTAATCATTGACATTAAATTCTTAGTCATTGACATTAAGTTGTAACGACGTGAAAATTTAAAACAATTTTTCATTTTTCAAACATAACATATCTCATATAATCATCTCAAAACTCAAGTGTATCAAATGTTATCATGGTAAAACATATCCCAAAATCTCAAATACAAAGTCCTCTGTCAGTGTGTACAAATCATGCCGACACATTTCCGCGATCATCGCTAGTACCTGAAACACATATCACATAACGCAGTAAGCATAAATGCTTAGTGAGTTCCCCAAAATACCATATACAACAAATTCGCCACTCGAGGCTATACTCGGTAGGACCCTCCGGCCCATGTGTCACAGCGGGACCCTCCAGTCCCATAGCTCGTTGGACCCTCTGGTCCGGTCTAGCTCGTGTCTTCCGACCTCATAAATCGTTGGACCTTCCGGTCCGGTCTACAATAACACATAGCATAATATCACATATACAAGATGCATAACTCAACTAAGCACATAAGACCTTCCGGTCACACATAAATACCACTTTAGGTAACGTATAGTGAGAAGACTCACCTCGTATGATGTTTGGTAACTCACGTGCTCAATATATATCCCCGAACTTGAAACAATGGTCTAGCCCCCGCCTAATCACATAAAGTAATTATCTTAAATCAATAACGACTCTCAAGGCTAACTAATCCCTTCCTATGTTCTCTTAGAAGGCTAAAAAGACCATTTTACCCCTCTAATGGTCCAAAAGTCCACATGTTGACCAAACCTCAAAAGTCAACGAAAGTCGACTGCAGGGAGGTACGTTGTGCGTACTAGCTCTGTACGCGGGGCGTACTCCGTGGTCATCCAGAATCAGGGAACTCGACCCGCTACGCGACGCGTATTGGGATTATGCCCAACGTAAGTCCCAGTTTCATACTTTCATGATTTTTGGTCTGAATAGATTAAGACATAAGCTCATATCTCAAATCCAGGCACTCTACTATCTCTTAAGCCATAAAGTCGAAACCTTTAAGCTTTTGCATGGCTATAAAGGTCACCAATCACTTCAAACACATATCCTCTTTCCCCATTTAGCCCTAATCTCATGCATGACTTAATCTTAATGTCCAAGATTGGATTTTTATGGATCTACAATACAAAATACACTGAAATTGGGTAGATCAAGGTCCATGAATTGCTATAAAAGAGTGGTAAAGTTTGAAGCTTTTTACCTTTGTGAGAAGCTCCATACTCAGTTTAGCTCAGATCTAGTAGCTTGGACTCCGATCTCTCCTTTTCAAGGTCTTCTCTTTTTCTTCACAAGCACACCATGACACTTTCAAGCTCAAATACACACACAAGTTTAGAACGAAGGTTTATCTCTTTTAGGGTTTCACTCTCTGGAAATGGTGGTTGGGAGAGTCCATAACATTCCTTTTATAGTGCTCATGTCTCATTTAGGGTTTTGAGTCTGGTCCCATTACGCCCAACGTAGCTATGGTACGCCCAGCGTACCTGGGTAGAGTCTGCGTCAAAGGCACACCCATCATATTATTCAGTACGCCCAACGTACCCACTCGTCACCCTTTTCTATTTTGAGCTAATTTTGACAACTTGGAAAAGAAGAAGGATTAACGAGATATACTTAAATTTCAGGATGTTACATAAATGCAATAATAATTTATATATTAAGTTGATATATAAAATTCAATTTTAATATTTTAAAACGTTTTCTAAGATAAAAATGACTAATGAATTATGTAACTATTTTAAATGTTAATGGAGACCTTTATTTATAGAATAAATTAGCTTATTAAGTTTATTTACTATGACGATATGACATCAAATTCGTATTTATCACGTGTATTTTTTGTGTTATGTTTTTTTTTTTTTATCCCACATCGCTAATAAAAAAATTGAAGTGAAAACAATTAATTATAAATAAAGATGCAAACACATTTTTTATCCCATATTGCTTACAAAACAAAACTCATGGAAAAACATATATCTATGAGATATATCCAGATAAGTCCCAATATTTTGGGCAAACTTTTAATAAAGTCTTAAATTTTATTTTTTTAATAAAAAAGATCTGATTTTTTCATATTTTGAATAGAAAAACCCAACAAACCGGCTAATTTATTCACATTTTGAATGGATAAAGATATTTTTTACATATCTATATCTATTTTTACGTATTTTTGTATTTTTTATGTTTTTTATGTATATATTTGTGTGTTTTTATGTATTTTAAATGTATAAACGTGTATTTTTACTTATTTATATGTATTTTTAACTATT